TTCAAAAACCTTATAACAAGTCACGTGACATTTGGAGTTAAAGAAGACACCTTGTAGGAAGATGATGAACATTTTTTAAATAAAGAAAATTTATTTGCACTTTACTTTCTGGCTCTTGTTTCCTTTGGGGAAGAGACAGACAGACACACAGACACACAGACACACAGACAGACACACAGTCCAGGCTGGCCACAAACTTGCTATGTTGCCAAGGATGACTTTGTTGCCTCTGCCTCTGCCTCTGCCTCTCTGCCTCTGCTCTGCCTCTCTGCCTCTGCCTCTGCCTCTGCCTGTCTGCCTCTGCCTCTGCCTGTCTGCCTCTGCCTCTGCCTGTCTGCCTCTGCCTCTGCCTGTCTGCCTCTGCCTCTGCCTGTCTGCCTCTGCCTCTCTGCCTCTGCCTCTGCCTGTCTGCCTCTGCCTCTGCCTGTCTGCCTCTGCCTCTGCCTCTGCCTCTGCCTCTGCCTCTGCCTCTGCCTCTGCCTCTGCCTCTGCCTCTGCCTCTGCCTCTGCCTCTGCCTCTGCCTCTGCCTCTGCCTCTGCCTGTCTGCCTCTGCCTGTCCGCCTCTGCCTGTCCGCCTGTCTCTCTCTCTCTGCCTCTGCCTCTGCTTCTGCCTCTGCAGTGTTGACATTACAGATATATGCCACCACACCCATACATGTAGTGCTGAGGATCAAACTTAGGGCTTCAAGCATGGTAGGTAAGCATTCTACCAGATCCATGCCTCCCTTGGTTGAATTTTAAATTCTGTGAAGTAGGCATAACTAGTGGTAGCATCCTTTTTTCTAATAAGAACACTAAGACTCGCATTGATGGAATAGCTTATCCAAGGATAACAAAATTCATTTTGGGAATGCAAGGACTCCATTTCTTCATCTGCCATATAAGAACACTGAGCTAGATTTAGTCTGCAATCAGACAAGGTAACCATACAGCTAATTTGCATTATACTTTCCTCTATGGTTCTATGTACCACCAGCATTCAATTCGAAGGAATTTATATGACCACAATTCATGAGTTACAGGGAAAGTTAAACCCAGATCCAAGTTCTGTGTTTCCTAAACCTAGCTGCTGATTCACCATGGGAAACATACTTTGAAACCTCACAATTCCCTCTCTGCATCCCCTTGATGAGCCCACCTTTCCAGGAAGATAAACTTGTCAGTTTCCCCAGCCCATCACTGCATAATCCAAAGCCCGATTTTTACATACAGTGTGTCCACCTAGAGTGGGTGACGTTGCCTGTGAAAGTCAGTCCTGCTTCTTCTATTCAGTGGATGTGAATTTAAAGGTATCTAGGAAAGGACTTTTGCCATGAAGCACATATAAAAGGAATATCTAAGTAATGCCAAGTCATGTTGGATATCAAGAGATTTGAGGAGTTACAGACTTAGAATCTCCTAAAATAACTCTCAATAGGAATTTGTAGCAGGATGATTTATCTTTTTTCTCCTTTCATTTTCTTAAAAAAAACCAAACTTAACAAAAATTTAAATGGTTATCCGGCAGATAATCCCTCTAGTTAAAGAAAAATCCCCAGTCATTAGACAGTCTTTGGCTAATTCCAGCTCTACAGTCACCCCTTGGAGCAAAGGCTAAGATGTAAACAAGTCCAAATTGGCCCTGTGTGCTGGCTAGTTTTATGTCAACTTAACACAAAGCTAGAGGCAACTGAGGTGAGGGACCCTCAAATGAGAAAATGCCTCCTTAAGATTGGGGTGTACGTAAGCCTGAAGGGCATTTTCTTAATTAGTGATAGGTGTGGGAGGGTCTATCGCATTGTGGGTGGTGCAGTCTCTGGGCTGGTGGTCCTGGGTTCTATAAGAAAATAAACTGAGAAAGCAAGGAGTACCAAGCCAGTAAGCAACATTCTCCATGGTCTCTGCATCAGCTCCTGCCTCCAGGTTCCTGCCCTATTTAAATGCCTGCCCTCACTGTTTTTGATGATATGGAACTGTGAATGAAACAAACCCTTTTCTCCCCAGTGGTTTTGGTCGTTATGTTTCATCACAGCAACAGTATCCCTAACTAAGACACCCTCGTTCCTAATCTGGTGGTTATTTGCAAGTTTCCTGACCACATACACCCAACAGACTGAGATACCAAAATGACCCAACAAACCAGCTCATTTCTGTGACCCCTACTGATCACTAGCTAGACACAAGGACAAAGCATTTTGTAAGGGAAGGTAAAATTATATAGATCATAATTAATACAGTTTCTATTTCATATAACTTGTTCTTTGTAGTACAATGTGTATTTCTTCCTTTGGGCCTATCAGAGAAGAAAAAGAACTATACAAAGGACCTCCATCATCATGCTAGCCCAAATACCTTCCTCTTCCCCACACTAAATCAAAACCTTCAAAGCTCATACGAACTTCGCCCTGAGTAGTGCTCACAGATATGGACTGAGATAGAAATAAATATGTAGTGAGTTAAAAATAAAATTGTTTACACTTGACTGAAAGGAGAAGATCAGAGTTCTTTGGGAAATTTTGCCAATTATTTATATATGACATCACACTAGTGATATCTTCTACCACAAACCAGGTATTTGTTATAACACCTATTCTAAATTATTGTTTTAAGATACAGTAGTCACATTCACATGTGGCTATGCTACTGAGAACCTGAAGTGTAGCTGGGGTGGGGAGATAAAAGATAGGTTTTTATGTTTTATTAATTTACATTGAAGTTTAAATAACTGCGTGTGGCTCGCAACTATCACATTGAAGAGAATAGAAAATGTGTGGAGAATTAGTTTGGATGATCAGCATCATCTGTCCTAATGGTCTATGCTATTCTGTTCTTCAAGATTTTCAGTTTCACTTACTCTAATGCAGTCACAGTATCCTTACTTAACTCACTAGAAATAACAATTTAACACTGCTGTTTACTTACAGGCTAGGTACTGGAGCAGAAAGAAGAATTTAATTGGTGGCTACCGTGTTTCAAAAGCCAGACTGATTTTTCCCATTTTCTGTAAACAAAATGCACAGATGCATCATGCCTTCCCACTGTGTGTGTGTGTGTGTGTGTGTGTGTGTGTGTGTTAGGGAATCTGTTGGCAATGTCACAGGACAAGTAACTAGGAGGACAAACTAAATTGCAAGGGGCACAGATATCTTTTATTTTCTTCATAGTATATGTTTATGTGCACTTCTCATGCTCTTTTTCTGTTTCTTTTCTCTTTTTGTTAGCTTTTTTGGTTCTCTTTTATCCTTGTTTGTCATTTTTATTAGTCTGTTTTCTTAAGAAAGGGAGAAAGAAGGAATGGATTTAGAAGCACAAGGGGTTGTGGAGGATCTGGAAGAAGATGGGGGAGGAGAAACAGTCATCATAATATATTGCATGAAAATAACTGATCCTATGGGAGACATCTTGTGAGAACCACTTTTCCTTTGGCCTATTTTCTTATCTGCAATAGAAAAAAGCTGAACTGTATAACTTATTAAACAAACCAAACAAAGCAATGAGCTAATACCTGAAGAAATCAATAATAAAACAGGTACACCATGTCTGTTTGAATTTAAATTAATATAAAATCTAAACAAGATCACCTTAAGACCCCTCTCAGCTCTGAATTTGGGTAATCTCCATAGAAGATCTGGTGAATACCACATGACTTAAAACCACTTAACCTTCTACCCAAGTGCAGCTTTACTAACAGATTCCACATATAACACATATGGGAGCCCCCATTTTCCTCGGCACTCCTTACTTGGTCTTCTCTACTATTTTTTAAGGCAGAACTGAAAAGATCTAGGAAAATGAGAAAAAGTGGGGAGAAAACAGCAGAGAAGTGTCAATTTACCCAGATCACCATTTTCAGACAATGTAGGGAGATAGAAGTGACGAAATTGGATGGAGAAGAAAGCAAACGATTGTGAGGGGAGGAAAGGAGAAATGGAATCCAGTCAACTATAGAGAACACGGTAGGAGTCAAGTAGTTATGTAAGGCCCCATGGGACTGAGTGTAACACTGTTCTTCCCATCACCCAAGTACAGAGACCCAACTAAAGAAGGAAACAAGTAGGGGAGCACCCCCTTACCGCCACACCTACAATGGTGCTTGCTATCTTAAAGCTCTTTTCTTCACTACCTAAATACAAATTCCCCTTCTGCCATATGTCAAATGCTTGTAAACAACTCACACTAGAGGAAAAGCAAAAGTACATATTTTATGTCTCTTACAAAATTTCTTATAAATCTCTGGGGAGCCCAACTACATTGAAGAAATACTAATTAAAATACCAGTCAGTAAACTTCCCAAGGATAGGACTAGAGCCTGGACTTGAATCCAAATATTATCTTTTCTTTTAAATGTACTTGAATGACCTTTTCTCTCAAGCATCATCATTACCTCCACATCTGAAGATTGTGTGGAAGAGGATGAAGAGTTACTATAAAGAGACAAAATTTAAGTGATATTTTTTTTCTTGTGGCCCATAATATTAGGCCAGAAAGCCATTGTGGGACTGTTATGTTATGTTATGTTATGACTATTTTCCAGACATTTACAAATCCTTCAAACTAATTATTAATTATGAGGCTATGTTTACAACACAGGACTTTCATAATAAAATTCAAAGTAGTTCGTTTACCTGGTTTACTTCATAGTCTTATCAATTTGTTTGCAACATCAAAATCTTGCCTCAGGCTCTAATAAGCACATACTAGTTTGGCATGTCCTTTTTCTCCTAGGACATAAGGCACTAAAAATAAATGGACTTTTAAAATTTTTTATAGAATCACAAATGTCATGAAGGAGGGAAACACAGAGAGAGAGAGAGGGAGGGAGGGAAGAAAAGTGGGAGGGAGAATGGGAAAGAGAGAGAGAGAAAGGGAGAGAGAGAGGAAATATGTCTTATCTAAAGATCGAGTTTCACATAATGACAGTTATATTAGCATATACTGCTAGGATTATCTTTCCCCGCCTACAAATAGCCTAACCACCCTCCAGTCATAAAAATCAGAGAGAACTAAGCTCAACAGCACACCCTCCTCCTTACTTCCCACCTCAGAGCTGCTGCATGACTTCCTGAGGATTCTATTGCAGTGGCTAGAGATAAACACTCATTTATACGTATAACCTGCAAGTCTCCAGTTTCTATTCTTCCTCCCTCTCTGTTCCTTCCCTGCCCCCACTTTTCACCAGGGAAGCTAAACTCTGGCGTGGTTTAAGCAGTTTGAGGACTAATCAGAAAGAGGAAGAAGAATCGGTATATATTGGCTAGCAAACGTGCCATGCCCTGACCTCTCTCCTCTTGAAAGAAACTTTCCTGAAGAGCAGGCGCCCTGTGAATGGAGTGGAGCATCCAGAGTCTCCAGATTTCTTCTGCAGCTCCCTATCCAGGGCTAGCTCTCCAGAGGACTAACAGGGTGGATTTTTCTCAAGATTTGCCTCTAGTTTCAGGGAGCAAACTCGAAAGGGCCTCCAACTGTGACGCTTGGAATCAGCAGGTAAGGAAATTGGGTGTCTGGAGTAAAGTTCAACTGATGGCAGATTCTACCTAACACCTCAGAGTTTGGGGGTAACTGCCCTGCCTTATCTGCTTTAAATTAGGCTGCTAATATGAATTCTTTCTGCTTTTGGTTCTTGGCCAGAGATCTGATCATCGAATCAGCCTGTCAACAAGTCGCTCACTGCCTCTGCTGCTGGCGCAGTAAGGCAAACTGTCAAACTGTTGAGGCAACACTCCCCAAGCCTCCAGCACCTTTTACGCTTCAGCCAGAAGTGCAAATAGACCTTAAGCTCCCATTTTAAGGCTACACTGGAGCTTCTCTTAGTGCAGTAGTAGCTGCCTTTAATGTGGAATGAAAGAGTACAGAGACTGCTGCAGATAAACAGAACAGTTGAAGGCTGACCTAGACTTTTCACAAGGAACCTTCACAAGTTTATGAACTTTTTAGTATCCTGTAATTGAGGCAGGATGTTTCCCCCTCTCCCTCCTCTCCCTCAGTCTCACTCTGGTTCTCATTCTCCCCTCCTCCAGCCCCCTCACTTTGAATAATGAAAAAAGAAACTCAAATAGGTTAAGAAATTTCTTTGAAGCAGACTGCACTGCTAGAAATTGGCAGGTTGACTGAAGACTACAAGAAGAAAGCACTCTCAGCTGCAGATAAATAGAAGAAATGCTTATGATCTACTTTGTAACTTAGAATAAAACACACTAGGTTAAAACAGAGCTAAGAAATCATAGGATTTAATCAAACACTTGGGGCAAGAGCATTTTTCTTCTTAGCAGTTTCAATGGTATCTGAATAGGCAGGCAGACACGGCCTCTTTAAATTCAGTGGATCTAAATCCCTGTCTCTACAATTGTTTTGGAATCAAGGAGGCCAAGCTACCATATATTTAGAGGGCAGATAACTTGGATTTGTTTGTAGAGTGTTTTAAGAATGATAGCAAAACATTCTACAATGTTTTATAAAGTACCATGACCACAGTGTATTTTAACTAAAATTTGTGCCTACACAATTTTAAGTTTATCATATCTGTGCCATCAAGTTTAAATCACTGAAAAATTATTTCATTTCCTGTCATTATTTTACAATTAATACATCAATTGTGACTAAAAGCTATCTGTGCCTATGTAGGAAATAAACCAAATTAAATATATATTTACATCTATCTCTTTTAAAAATACTGTTTCCCATTCTCTGAAAATCCTAATTATGCTGGTCATTCAGTTCTTACAAAAATAATCTAAGCCATGATCCAACCAATCAAAACCTAAACTTTACAGATTGGGGCAAGGTTGAACCTGCCATATCAATGTCTTCCTAATTTACTGTTACCCATTTTCAATCCCCATTACCTGCTCCCTCCTAGCTTTAGTCAAACTTTTGATGCACTTATAAACTCTCTATCTAAAGAAGAAAGAAAAATTCGTCTATGACCCGCAGATTTACAAATGGCCTTTGGGGTACCATGGACTGACAATGAGAAATTCTAAAGGAAAAACACTGATACTCAAGGGACATGCCCAACTTTGGGGCCTTGATGACATTAATGGCAACTGTAATAATTTCTCAATTAGCATAGCTCTCTTGCTTTCTGCTTTTGTATTTGGGAGGGCAATGCTGGGAATTGAACCCAGGCTTCTGAACATGCTTAAGCAACTACTTTACCATTGAGCTACATTCCTAAGTTACTTTAACCTATTTTACTATTTCTTATGTTCCTATAAAAATATCTCAAATTTATTATAATCCTATAAATCAAGTATTGTTCAAACTAATAGAAACAAAGACCTATATATCAAAAGCAGGTAAGATATAGCCCCTGTGCTTAGGAGAAATTACAATGCTACTATGACTATAAAACACAAAGGATGTAACATTGTGAGATGATTAAACCAGTAAGTACAGAGGTAAAATATAAACTGCATGGAGAAAGCTTTAGAAAGAAGACAAAACTTGAGACTATGCTGAATAAGTTTGCCTGTGGTAAATGGCTAAAATACTACAGTGTCTGAATTCTGGTACCAAAAATAGCATCAGGAGTGAGATTAATACCTATGGGATGCACCAAGAATCTTAACCTGGCTACAGTGAACTGACTGGGTTGGAAAATAACAGGAAGGAACTTTGAGTAAGAGTTCAAGGTTAGGTTGGTGATACTGAAAATGAGATGACTAAGAACTCAATCGCGCTGTAAAAGAAAGACTAAATGGAACTTGGGAAGAGATTAGATTACAGACATTGTTATAGTAACTGAGAAGCAACTCCAAAATATTAATACTGTAGAAAGCAGGCACTGGTGTTAATGCTATTTGTAGCAAAAGGTAACCTGGGATAAATATGGGAATGTAGGGCATGATGAGTTCTTGTATTGACGTTTAAGTTTGAAGTGATGGCAAGAATCCAAGGAGAAATGTCTTATGGGTTATTAGAAATTAATGGCCCCAGGATGTTAATGACAGATAAAAGAGAAGGGACCCAATGTTAAATCTATAAAGTATGATAAGAAAGAGTAATAAAAACTCAAAATATATTTTCAGTGAGTAAGTCAAAGACTGCAATAGGCAGTGTCTACATCTTCAGGCAAAAGAAAGAAGAGAGTCCACAGGAATGTGACCTACAAAAAGAACATTATCCTTTTCCCAAAAATGCAAGATTCTTAAGGGAAGGTACTAGGTTATTTTTTGTTTATTTATTTATTTTTTAAATTCAAATTACGTCATTTCCCTTTCCTCCTTGCAGCCCCTCAAATATGTCCTTCATTGTTCTCTCTCTCTCTTTCTCTCTCTCTCTCTCTCTCTCTCTCTCTCTCTCTCTCTCTCTCTCTCTCTCTCTCTCTCTCTCTCTCTCTCTCTCTTCCCTAACAAGTCTATTTTTAACTCTGCCACCCAGCAATAACTAGCATATTGCCTCATACACATTATGAACACAAAAATGACCATTAAATACTCTAACATAAACAAACATTGGGAATGTCTGCCTCAAGGTCTTATCCAGCTTGAATTCATAAGTTCTTTGCATTCTCCAAACTGTCCCATGGCAAACCTCAATAGGAGGAAATCGAGGCCAGAGAATTGAAAGTTCATCCTAGCTTTGACTTTGTCTTTCAGCCAGTTGTGTTCTTTCTAACAAGTTACTGAATATCATCACATCTTGGTTTCTTTGTGTATAAAATGCCCTATGATAAAGACAGGGGTATTTTTTCCAAATCTGTTACAATGACAAAAGTGATAGCAACTTCACAATTCCAGTCATCATCCAAAAGTTTTGCTTAAAGTTCATTCAATTCAGAAACAGAAACACATTACACAACTGAATGCATGTGGGAGAGTGTAGAGCTAGTTACTTTCTATTCTCTATACAACACCTGCAGGGCAAAGGCCTGTTGGTGTGATCTGTCCCCAGGCTTGCCACTAGCAGTTCATGCCAGTAACTGTATGCTTCAGAGTGAATTCTGAGAATAAAATAGCATTTAAGAAGTATTTGTTTGATAATACTACTTTTTATTAACCTGCCTTCATTAAACCTGCTGAGTCTTAAGGATCCCCCACGGAAGGCCTCACCCTCCCTGGAGAGCAGAAAGGGAATGGGATAGGGGAGGGCTGGGGGGCAGAGGATGAGGGGAGGGAGAGGAACTGGGATTGATATGTAAAACAAGCTTGTTTCTAATTAAAAGAAAAAATTAAAATTAAAAACCCTGCTGATTCTTACAATCAAAAGCTAAGTATCACCGGGTAGTAGTGACACGCACTTTAATCCCAGCACTCAGGAGGCAGAAGTAGGCAGATCTCTGTGAGTTCAAGGCCAGTCTGGTCTACAGAGCAAGTTCCAGGATAGGATCCAAAGCTACACAGAGAAACCCTGTCTCAAAAAGTAGCTAAGTATCAAAATTTACATTAAGTTCAGAATGTAACACAAGTACTCCACTACTGTGTCCTAAAAACATCTGTATAACTAGTAGTTTAGTTGTCGCACCTGCTGTGCAGCCTGCATCCGAGAATGTAGCGGGGTGGTCGGGATAGATGACACAGAGACTGGTCAGTTGCTTTAAGAAAACTTTATGCTTTCCAAGTCAGTTTAGGAGGAGAGTTCTCTCCAAGAAAAAAAACGCTTCCCTTTTTAAGGACTTCTGCCATCCATCTACATACAATTCTCCAACAACTCTCCAAGACTTCTCACCCTCCTGGCTGGTGGTTTAATCTCCGGCCCCAGAATGGGGGGGGGGAGAAACAGCAGGGGGGACAGGAAGAAGCATCTAGCCGTAGGGGGTGTCAAAGTCATGGTGTTTCAGTGAGGGAGCCCTTATCTGAGCCCTATCAAGAGCTTTATAGCACTGAATTGTTTTCAGTAAACATTATCTCACAGCTGCCTGTTCCCAGGCCGAAGGGGAAGTGGGTTTCTGCTCAAGGTCTGGTGTCCCCACATTTAGTCATAATACAAAACATTTTCTAAAAGTAAATACATACAATATATATATATGTATATATATATAATATATTGCATAGTAAAATGCAAACACCTTACAGCTGCTTTTACTCCTTGCCTCAATGTCATCTGGGTTTCTGGCCATGTGAACACCTATGTAGTGTGATTCAAGAACTGATGAGAAAAAGTTTTCTAGCATGAGCAAACACCTGAGACAATCATACTACCCAGTCTTACAAAAGAGATTGATTTACAAGGCAGAGTGCCACTTTGTTGGTCTTTAGTAAGGAAATTCAACTACTGTAAAGTCTGGCAGATTCCTTGCAAGTACTGGCATATCCTTGTCCCCAGAAAAATCCAATAGAGGAATAAAGGAAGCCATTTAATCCAGTTAGATAAATACAGACATCATGAGTACTTTAATCCATATTACAATCATAGTCCTAAAACATCCTCAAATTACATTTACTTTTACTTTTCAGAAATCTTCATAGATTGGTAGAGGGCTCTTATTTAAACATAGTTTGCACTGCAACTAAGTCTTATTCGTTGTGTTCCACCTCATGCTATCA